CCCCTCTCTCTCTCTCTCTCTCTCACACACACACACCCACACATGCCAACACAGGCACACAGCCATGCTATCCTTGTTGTTTCTATCCCTCCGTTTGTCTTGGCATTTCCTAGCACTAAAATGGCCTCCGCAGAGTCGTTGCGCTTCTCTTTGTTCACTTTATTAATCTCTGGTGAACTAACAGGCGATGGGAGGGCGCCAGCAATAGCTTATATTTTCTGTTTCCCCTTTGCTATGCACTAACTGACTGTTGTAGTGTCTGTGATTCTCTATAATGTGGTCAAAAATTCGTGGCGCAACTTCTCCTCAAATACCTCTTTACCGGGTGAATCAATGTCATCCCAACTTTGCACAGCAGTTTGTATCAATTTGTCTTAACTAAATCATATTTTTTCCAGAACATTTGGGGCTAGATTCAAAAACTTTTCTTTATAGATTTATATAAAATTATACTTGAAATCTCTGTCACACGCAAAATAGGATTGTTCACAGCATTTCCTGCTTCTCACATACATTTTGATTACACATAATATGGCCTACGTCACAGCTCATCAATTACAATTTTTAGCAGCAAAACTTGTTACAAGAATTTCTTTTTATAATGAACACAATATTTTCGCAACTAATGGTTCTCAAAACATGCGGTCAATAAGCATAATGTCCCGATAAGGAAAACATGACGCACTTCCTATTAAAAGCAATATTGCCACAGCTGTATGCATTTAAAATCTGTAGAAACCACACACTTTGATTTTTAAATTAGTATTTATTTTGGAATTTTCTAGAATACAGCTAGCAGATGTTTACAAAAATGTTGATCTGTTAATATAAATTGATACAAGTCATTGTGCAAAAATTCCAGAACCTGTGTTCAATAGTTGAGGAGATATTTGGCAATAAGTTGAGCCACGAATTTTTGACCGCACGGTAGAAATACTAATTCTAGACGTTGTACGCCGTCATTCACGCGTGGATTTTAAGGTCGAAAACGGGAGGTGTCAATTTGTAGCGTGAGGATGGAAAGTGTTTAACTCGACTCGGTCCTATCGGAGAGGGAGGTTACATTCAGAATTCCTGGCTCTATAAAGAACAAACAAACAAGAAAATTCCCTTACCGTGTTGCAAGGGTCGTTGACACACACGTACAATTTCTTAGTTTTTCGCAGTACTCACGTCTCGTCCCTCCAGCTTGCCATAGATCTGAGTGACCACATTGCCCTGTCTATCTCGTATAGGTGCCCCGCCCCCCTGGCCACCCCATGGGTAGTACGGCCGACCGTCCTCATCCGAGAAACTGATGTCAAAGTTCCCTTTGCCCGGGATATCCTCGCGGATTTTGGACTCTGTGAAGGGGAGTGTTAATTTTTGTGGATACACGTTGTCAATAAAGAAGAAGAAGAAGAAGAAGAAGAAGAAGAAGAAGAAGAAGAAGAAGAAGAAGAAGAAGAAGAAGAAGAAGAAGAAGAAGAAGAAGAAGAAGAAG